ATTGCCAGGCACTGACTCTCTGGAATTAATTCGATTTGCAAGATTTAGGAAACAATTATTAAACCAATTGAGTGAGTGATGCTAATTGTGTATTTGTTTACTTAGAACCAAACTGAAATGCCAAACTCAGTATGATATCTTTGAAAGAAATACTCCTTTCTTTATTTTACACTCTTGTGTTAAGATGACACTTAAAATCTATATGTCAATTTTAGGAATATCCAACAATTGGACAACTCATTGATAAACTGGTGCAAAATAACGTGTTATTAATCTTTGCTGTAACCCAAGAACAAGTTCATTTATATGAGGTAAGCAAACATCATTTGGGGAATTCCTTCAGGGAAAGTATTGGACGTGGAACTTCAGCATGAACTCAGTTCAATGCATGGGTTGCTATCAGAAAATCATTAACATGTGACAGATATGCTGGACACTTGGTAACGTTACTGTTTGCAATTTAAATTACAAATCCAGGGGTGCCGTGGAGAATGGGGGAGAGATCTGGTGGGGCAGGGAAGAAAGAATTAAGGAATGACAAGGTGAGTTGTAAGAGAGCACCAGGGAACATGGGAGCACCTACTTAACAGAAAGTCTGTCTTCCCTTGGACTGTTTCATGTGACAAGGAGGGGAGTTAACAGAGCAAGGGAGCAGAATTGGCTTGAAACTTTCAGACATCTACAAATCAAGGCATAGAAAATATACAAGTAGCGATACAGTTCAAACCATTGAGAAGTAAGAAAGGTAAAAGGGAAAAGCTTGTTAAATTGGGCCACAAATATATTTTCTCCTTCATAGTAGCTGGGTTTGCAGTTTAAGTTTTTGGATGGAAACACCAGACGCAGAAAGGAAACTGTTTCATTAGATGCGCTAGTGTTTGTAAACCACTGCATACACTGTAAAATGCATATGTAAACACAAAAGATTTCTGTGGGTTTATTCCAGCCTAAAAAACAATATGTCAGAATACCATATATCAGGATGCTAGCAAATGACTTATTCCTGTTGGGCAGTTTCACAGAGAAGTAAGGAATCTCTAGCCCGGACCTGAGAAAATGTAGAGAAACTAGGTGTACATTAAATTGTCTGTGCCTTCTTCTATGCAGAAGCTTTAAATACTCCTAAGTTCAGAGTCCGATCTCCCATTCCTTTTTAAAGGACCTCTTAACTCTCTTGGTGACTTTACAGGGCTCGGGAAACTCTGACATTATTTCACAGAAGGCTTTGATTAAATGCCACTCACTGCTAAGGACAGTGCAGCCCATGAACTTGCATCAGGTTCTATAGAAAGGATCCAGGAGGAGATCCTATCTTGCATTTTTAATGAGAGGAGGGTATTGTACTCCAGGTGAGATTGCCTTCTGCTGAAAACCAAAAAAGTGCTTTGCAATCAAGCTGCATACTCAAGGCCTTTGTTCTACTCAGAGACCATGTGGGTTCACCTGATCTGGGCATTTTTTTAAGGCTCTTTAGTATGTGATACCTGTTTCCAGTGGTTTTAAGTAGTAGAGTTGCGGTTAAGATTAAAAAAAAAAAAATACCCCAAATACAATAGTGAGTCTATTCTGCCTTTGATCCTTAAGGGTAGAGCGAGAGGACCCTGGGGGTCACAACACCTCCTCCAAAGCCTGGTTCTGTTTAGAAGGGGGAAGGGGAGTTGCACAGAACTTTTCTTAAAAGGGGAGTCAGAGAAATACAACTGATGATCATGAACATAGTCGTCCATAACTCACTTCGGTAATAGTCTTTAAGACTCACAACTCATTTACACGCCTCCTCAAAACTGCTACCAAAAGACAGAAGAAGATGAAAAATAACCATGTGGCAAAACAGAATCTGTCAGATTTAAGTTAGTTGGGCCGACGGTTCCCCTGTTGCAAAGGAAATGATCATTTCCAAGGAAAACACCAGATTAGAGCCTGGCTCTCATTTAACAGCAGGACATTTATTTTGCCTGCCTCCTAATCTCATTATGAGGCGAATTTATGTTCTGTCATGATCTGTGGTCTTTACCATCCAGGCTCCACTAAATTCAAAGGGACATTGTCAGGGAGCCATGCAGCAGACCAGGGCAGAAGCCCACTCTCTGACTCTGATGCTTTCTTTCATCATTTTATCTCTATTTTGATGGATTCATCATCCCATCTGCATTAGTCGGGGCAGGCGGCAGTCTGGCCTAAGAATAATGACAGCGACATTGCACTTCCCTGAAGGCTTCACACAGCATGAAAATGCTGATCTCTTGTTTTATTGATAATGAAAACTGAAAATAAACCAATAATGGCTTGTGTTGCCTTTCCATTTAAATCTCTTAGAAGGAGCCCAATGTGAGGTGGAGCCCTGCACAACTTGATGTTTGGACAGCTGTGATAGAAGGGATATAACTACTAAAGAATCACTGAAAAATAAAACCAGTGATAGGATAAATACGTGGTTAGATCTAATGGAAATTCCAAAAGGCAATTTGTGTACCCCAGTTCTGTGTTAAGCATAGCTATGTGCATACACTCTGGGCACAGGATGGCTCCGATTCAATGGTGGCCCATCTTGTAGCAAATATGATTTATGTTGCCCATTCATGGAATGCAGGAAAAAAATTATAGGTTTTTGTTTTGTAATTTTGGGAAGATGCTCCGGACGGTCCAGATGTGCAGCGTTGCTGTGCTTTGTGGTAACAAAGAAGAACAAACAATGGAAAGGATAAAGTAAGCAGTTTTGCCTTCAGTTCAATATGACTGCAGAGTGCACCCCAGACTCCAGCAAAAGGATGATTTTGAACAAACTTATTATTATGAATAGTTGCCTGTTTGTCCAATTATAGGGTTCAAAAGATAATGATAGATAATAGACTGAGCAGTAGGTAGCATATTACATTCTAGTGGTAAATACCATTTTGAATCAGGATTCAATTACCCAAGCTTAAAAAAAATTTTTTTAGCTCCTCTATTGTTTTCAAATGTTTACTCTTAATTTACATTAAGATAGTATCAGGCTACTAAAGCCCAATTGTCTAATTTGACTAGTCTCTCCTTCCTAGTGAGATATTGATATAAAAAGCAATTAAATTAGCATTCTTAACTACATTGTCAAATCATGTTATTAATCACCTGGAATTATTTACAAGACTTTAAGATATTCTAATCTTTCAAAATGTTCACATCTGGCTGGAAAAGATGAGTTTTGTTAAGTCGATAATGATAATTAATATATAACCTAGTATTTACAATGAAATGTTGAAACATTAGAAAGCAAACAAGACGTATTAGTAATAGACACGTCCAGTTTAGTTGCTAACATTTATGACTGCTGATTGATGTCCCTATTGGTAATAGGACAGAGTGATATATCTAAAGTATAGGGACAGGACACCCATGCAGGGTTTTGTTTGTTTGCTTGTTTGTTTGTTTTTTGAGAGAGACAGAGTCCAAGCAGGAGAGAGGAAGAGAGAGAGGGAGACAAAGAATCTGAAGCAGGCTCCAGTCTCTGAGCCGTTTGCACAGAGCATGAAACAGGGCTGGAACCCAGGAACTGTGAGATAGGACCTGAGCGGAAGTCTGCTGCTTAAGGGACTGAGCCACCCAGGAGCCCCACCCATGCAGGTTTTAATACCACCAAAGGGCCCTTCCCTCTGGAAGTGAAAAGCCCTCAATTATCACCTCTTTGAGGAGAATGGTGGGTTTTGCTCATCTTTCTGTTTAGGCTATTTCTCGATACACAATAGATTTTCATCTTTAGTCAATTTGGGTCAAAGTTTCTAAATAGTAATTTGGAATTTTGTGTGACAAATACCTGTGGAAGTTGAGGGAGCCCATGTATAAGAGCAGGTGTGGGTGTGCCTGACCCAGAGCTACAGTCATTTGCAGCCCTGGCTGCCCCCTCCCCCATCTCTGGCCCTTGGACCCAGATGGCACCAGGGGAAAGGAACACTGCCATCACTCCTGGGACCAACCCGTTGGATAAGTTCAAGAGCCTTCTCGCTAAGCCACAAAAGGAAAACCCCTGAGCAGTTACCCCTATTTGCTGGTCATTGTTATCTAAGAACCAGCATAAAGTATAGCCACAACATGCTAAGAGCTTGTGTGGCTTGTGAATATAACCTATCGTATGCAAGTTTCAATTTTTTAAGATCAATAACCCAGTTTTTATATCACCCCTTCTTTCCTTTTTTGCTTATCTTTTGAGCTTTTCACTGCAGCAAGAGAGTTGAAAGGAGGCAGAGAATTAAAGAGGGAGATAAAGCAAAAATTGAGCCCTTTTGCTCTGTGATATCCTGTTCTATTATTGTTTTGTTTTATAATGTTCACTATTGGAAAAGATCAAAACGATTTTGCTCTGATGAAAATCCCTTTTTCTCTGGCCTCAGTTTTGACAAAATAAAAGGACTGAACTGGATGACCTCCAGCCTTAGTAGTCAATGACTCTGAACCTGAAGAAGGGAAATCACCATGAATTCCAATGATCTATGCACAAAGTTCAGCTAGCCATAATATAGCTAATTTTTAAGCATGTATGAAAAAAATTGTTCTTTATCCTATCAACCCCATCTTGTAATGAAGTATTCCAAATTTATGCTTTTAGTGAATATAAAATCATCTAGGAATAAAAAGAGAACTTCTGAATTATGAGAAATCCCCACACAGTTAACAAATTGCTCTTAATTCAAGTGTAATGGAAAAGGATTTTTATTTCTCTTCAATTGATGATATCTGGGAATAAGACTGAGGAGAGCCAGCCTATACTTTCCTCATTAATAAAAATAGCTCTTAGAGAGGGAAGATTTGGAAATAAAACTCATGTCCTCAGATTATCAGCACAAAGTTGTTAGAAGCATTTTCCAGACTAATTAATAAATTATAACCATGAAAAGTCATCAGTAGTTACCCTTAGTTTACACATAGTACTTTTCTTCTAAAGAACTCAAAGACTCATAATCCAGTAAATAAACACAAAGGTAAAAAAAAAAAAAAAGAGAGAGGAAAGAGAAGATTCAGACTTAAAGTAGGGTTTTAATGAGATGCTCTATTAGGCCAGCCCATGAACAAATACAAAATGGAATTTCAATACAAGGCCTAAATATTTTAAGATTTACACAACACCCAGGATATCTAGCATATCAATAGAACCAAGATGCTATTGAATGCATGCATGCATTCATTCATTCATTCATTCATTCATCAAGCATTTCATTAGAACTTCCCTTCATTTTTGAGTACAGAGAAGGATAAGACACAGTGCCTACCTTAAGAAGTGTCACAGAGCATTAGTAGACTTGTAGACCAATAATTTGCCTAAAGAACGGGATGAGGGCAT